TTCGAAGATTTTCCAGCACTCGCTTTTCGTGAAACACACATCCAGATCGTTGAGATGCCGAGACTCCTCTTTTCTGTTGAGAATGGCTTGAATGGAGAACGGCATCAGAGAGTTGCTGCGAACAGCCATTTTAAGCAGGAAAAGTCACTGTGGATCACCAGCTCCGGGGTTACGCGCTCCAGATTGAGCCCCGTGGCGGCAGTTCGGTCGCATCGCGTGAAGGGAGTGTGTGTGTTCGCCACAGCGAGAGTGTGAGTGTGAACACACAGCGCTACTATCCACTTCACCTGCGGATCACACTGACCCTCAACTCACTCCCATTGGCCAGTCGGGCAGCTGTAACGCGTTCTGATTGGCTGTGAGGAACTCGCGCATATTTACAGCGCATTAACCCTTAAACACCCGAGGAGAGAATTAAAAGATATCAATGACCCTTTAAAAATCACACTGACAACTAAATACGAGCTGCGGATGAAAAAAGTAGGTCTGACAAAACGCGACTGAACGCACACAATTATCATCCAAACACGCGCGTGAATGTTTTTACGGAGCAAAAAATAATGGCAGCTCTATAATAATCGTTTTTAGTAATAAACTCGTTAATATTCTCAGGTCACTGGATTTCCATCATATATTGAGCTGTAAGTATAACTTCTACTTTCTGTTCGCATTTCATTCATTTATTTATGACTAAAGGCACTCGTGTTTGTGCGCTTCTTTTATTTAAGGTATGGAAATTAATTATTTGTTTTACCTTTATTTTATCATTTCATTGATTAAAACACTTCTCATATTATGTCTGTATATATTCCACACAAATAAACTAATTAAAAATTAGAATGAAATATCTCGTCAAACTAATTTCTACTCTTATCCGCGTCATATTTGAGCATGTTTTTGGCTAAATGAACGAGGCCTAAAAAACGGCAGGCTATAGAACAATATTAATTTAATGAATAGGCTATGCGTCACACAGATATTTTTCAATTTAACAGCAACATCACTAGTAATAATAATAATAATAATAGCCTAATAATAAACCGAACAGAAATAAACAAATTCTTCTTATTCGATTTTCTCTTTTTGAAGCCGCTGAATTTCCTCGAATATCGCATAAATAAGTGTCGCTTTAAATAATTCTAAATGATATTTTCTTCTTGTGATATCGTGTCTCTGACATAATATAGCCTAGGCCTATATATGATGGATATTGTGAACGTTCAGGACAAAAAATGTTATTAACCAAACTACTGTTAATGTGTCATTTCAGAAGCTAAATAATGAATAGCTGAAATTAACACATTTAATAAGCCAATTTATTGAGCGTTGACGGGAAATGATTAGCCGTGTAATAAAAAACGTTAATTGAATGTTAATGATGCCGATTAATAAATAATGTTGCTGGACTTTGAGCGTCACGCTGGATTTTCATCGAGTTGTGAAGTTCAACTCGATTTTTATTAACACTAACAACAAAATATAAATGTTTATTAATCTCCTCCTTCCGGCGATCATATTTGAAGACGTTTTTCTTCTATTTCGTCTTCGAGAATTATGAGGCTATAGGCTATTTTTCTGGCGTGTTTTTACCAAAAAATATAATAGATTCCTCTGCATTATTTCACTAAATATTTAATCAATACAAATAACAGAATTGCGGCTTAGCCTACTTTTAACAGTCTATAATACGATCAAATAATATAACACGAAATCAGCGTTTACAATTCAGTGAATCCAGTAGATTAACTCAGCCTCTGATACGGATGACAATAAACATTTACACACATTTTTATAATAGAAATTGTATTTTCCCCTCGCATAAATGTTTTTAGTTCCGAGAACATGATGTTTATTAATGATTTTAAATTCTTAGTAAATATCAGTAAGGTAAACGTGCGCGTCTCTCTCTCCATCTAGCGGCCACGCGCATCACTCACGCGCGTTCCTGTGTCTGATAAAGGTGACATGAATATCTATTTGTGTATTAAAAAAAAGTGAATATGTGTGACTCTGCAGATGCTCGCGATCGAGGGATCACCATGGGCGTGCGTGCACGCGTTCGGGAACTTGTCAAGCTCGTGACGTGTAAATTGCGCGTGCATGCAGAGGGATAATGAAAAAATGAACGCGCCAAGCGCAATAAACGTCAAAACATCAACGCGTTCCCGCTGCTTATAATTGTGTGTTGTTGAGTCTGAATGTGTGTGTGTGTGTGTGTGTGATGTAACAGACTCTGACAGGACAGACTTCAGGGAAAGAATGGCGTGACACGGATGACAGCAGCTCGTGCAAGTGAAGACTTTCTTTCTGTTTTAATATCTGGAATATGAAACTCATGTAAAAGCCCATTGAGTCCAGATGCGCGTGACCGAGAGAGAGAGACGGGAGTAAAACACTGAAGCATCGGGTCACGCGCACAGGTAAACACTCACCTGCCCTCAACTGTGCTCTCTTCAACACATCAGTGTGTGTGTGTGTGTTATTAACCCAAGGCTTTTCATGATCATCTCACGCGAACCTCATCATTCAAAAAGCGGCTTTTTCATTTTCACGTATAAAGACGCAATAAATACCGTGAAAATTGGCTATAAATGTGTTGTGTAAAATCGTTAGTTTTTCTATTACATGACATCATTATATGTATTTGATTAATTGATACTAATCACATATTGTAATCAAACGTTTTAATATTTTTTTATTTAAATAAAAATTAATTTATATAATTTAAATACAATTATTTATTTTAATAATTTGTATTTATTTTAAATGTTTTTACTTGAGTACTTGTCAAATTCTATTTGAATGAAATGTGTTAGTTTATTATTTGTTTATAAATTTGTTCTTATATATTAATTTGTATTTATATTATTTATTTATCTAAACAAAAATGTATTTCATTCTTTTTAGTATTCAAATTTATTTAGTTCAATCTTATTTTTCTTGATTTATTTTTTTACATTTCTACACTGCTTTTCGTATTTATATTAATTTAAATATAGTTTATTTAGTTTAGTTTTATAAAACTTCTTTATTTTGTTTGTGTAAATCAAATAATTTATTTTAAATGTTTTTATTTATGTAGCCTATTTATTTTTATTGAAATCAAATTTAAATTTATTTATTTAAATCAAAGACGTTAGTTTATTATTTATTTATTTTATTCAATACATTTGTTTTAATCTAATGTATTAATTAAACATTTATTTAAATACAAGTTATTTTATAATTTTTTCAGCCAAAATTAATTAATTTAGTTTAATCTCTTTAAAAAGTTATTTTCACATTGTTTACTCGACTTTTCTCTAATAGTTTCCGCGGACCTGTTTGAAAGCAGTGCTGTTTATCGGTTGTGTGCGTATTTCAGCTTTAGCATGTAAATAAAGGCCTATATATCGAATCGGCGGAGTCACGTGAGTCTCTCAGCCAATCACACGCGCTTCTGCCTGGATGTGGCGCCGCCGTGTGGAAAACATAGCTCGATTTTAAATGAGAATATTGTACATGTATTACGCGCCCCCTGCAGGACGAGTCATCACAGTGCACGTGTGTGTAACGTTCTTTAATGTGTGTGTTGTTTTGTTATAGTGTAGAGTATATACCGGTAGTGTTTTACTGGCAGCAGGATAATATTGTGATTTTTAATCTCTTCATCTCATACATGTTATAAATTAAACTTAAATTCTAAAGACTACAGACTTACACTAACTTCAAATGCAAAGTTAATTATACAGTATTGTTTTATTTTATGAAAAAATTATCAAAATGAAGTCTTATTTCTTGTGTTCCTATTGAATTAAAATTAATTTTCTGACTCTATTGACAGATATTTGTTGAGTAATATCAGCTGTGAAGGCATTCATATTTAACCTCCGATGTCTCTCACACACACACACACACACACACACACACACACACACACACACACACACACACACACACACACACAGCTGTTTCCTGCGGCACCGGATTAAAGTGTACAATAATAAATCAGAGACAGAATAAACTCTTAGTTTCACCACAGAAATAAATGCCTCTCTGGTCTGTTCTCTCTCTCTCTCTCTCACACACACACACACACACACACACACTGTTTCGTCTGGTTTTGGTCTGTTCAGGTTCCTCTGAATCTCAGACCAGAATAATAAACTCGATGTCAAAAACCTTAAACTTTCTAAACATAATTTTTTTATATACTGATGATGTATGTCTACATTATAAAATTAAAGTTAAAGGGGCGGTTGTTTATGATTCCACTGTTCAAACTGTAGTTATTGTGTAATGTTGCTGTTTGAGCGTAAACAACATCTGCAAAGTTACAACGCTCAAAGTTCAAAGCAAAGGAAGATATTTGCTTTTACAGAAATCGCTTTTTAAGGACTACACCAAACAGCTGGTAGAACTACACGAACTTCTTCACGGGTTAGTGACATCACAAACCCTAAGATTTGCATAAACCCCACCCCTGGGAACACGATTTATAGATTATCATGACAGAATATGCTAATCAATGACTAGAAGAGAGTTAACTCCACATCAGCTGCATAAACTCATCAACTAACCGTCAGAAATGTCCTGTTGCTTCTACTCGAGTCTCTCCATCTTTCTGACTCCGGTTTGAACATAAAAGGCTAAAAGTTTTTGAAATTTTCAGTGTGTGTCTGTGTGACGTAATCAGAGCTGCTAACACACACACACACACACACACACACACACACACACACACACGCTCCGCCCCCTGTGCCGGGAGCAGCAGCTCATTTGCATTTAAAGGGACACACAAACGGTGCGTTTTTGCTCAGCCTCAAAAAATGACAATTTTAACATGCTATAATAAATGATCTGTGGGGTATTTTGAGCTAAAACTTCACACACACATTCTGGGTACATCAGAGACTTATTCTACAGCTTGTGAAAAGGGCATTATACCAGCCCTTTAATAATTAAAGAGTTAAATAAACATCTCACACAAAACAAATATAAAAAACACGACAGATCGGATCTCGGATCAATACTGGAATTTATCATAAAAAGGTAAAAATATAAAATGGAACAATAATGACATTCACAGAATGAGCATCTTTATGGTGACAGAAATATGACACACACTCACGCGCACACACACACACACACACTCTCTCTGACCTTAAAACTACTAACAAGCATGAACATGAGGCGATCAGAAGCAGTGTTCGGTTCATCGCTTGGTTCTCTTTGCCGGCGGATCTTCAGGTTTCTGTCCTCGTGTGCGAGAGAGCGAAGGACTGGAGTCACGCTTGCGTCCTCTCACCGGCCTGAGAGAGAGAGAGAGAGAGAGAGAGAGAGAGAGAGAGAGAGAGAGAGAGAGAGAGAGAGAGGAGAGAGAGAGAGAGAGAGAGAGAGAGAGAGAGAGAGAGAGACACAGAGAGAGAGAGAGAGAGAGAGAGAGAGAGAGAGAGTGAGAGAGAGAGAGAGAGAGAGAGAGAGAGAGAGATGAGAGAGGGAGAGAGAGAGAGAGAGAGAGGAGAGAGAGAGAGAGAGACACAGAGAGAGAGAGAGAGAGACAGACACAGAGAGAGAGAGACACAGAGAGAGAGAGAGAGAGAGAATGAGTGTGTGTTCAGCTACGCACACACACACACACACACACACACACACACACACACACACACACACACACACACACACACACACACGCGCACACACACGCACACACACACGCACACACACGCGCACACACACTCTGATGTTGGCTTGAGAAACCCTAGCCTGTAAGTTTGAGGTAATTGTAAAAGCTTGTGAAATGGTTTAGAGTAGGGCTGTCAAATAAAAATTCGAATTTGAATCTAGCTAATATTTCAGAAAGTCATTAGAATTTAGCTTTTCAGCCATTTTGACAGCCGTAGTTTAGATAGAGCGAGTTTAAAAAGCTTAAAGCTGTGACTCCAGACAGACACACACACCGTGTGTTCGGGGAGTGCTCCTCTTTCTGCTCCTCGAGGAGTGTGTGTGAGAAGTGTGTGAGAAGTGTGTGTGTGTGTGTGTGAGGAGTGTGTGTGTGTGTGAGGAGTGTGTGTGTGTGTGTGAGGAGTGTGTGTGTGTGTGTGTGTGAGGAGTGTGTGTGTGTGTGTGAGGAGTGTGTGTGTGTGTGTGTGTGAGGAGTGTCAGGACAGACACACACCATGTGTTCGGGGAGTGCTCCTCTTTCTGCTCCTCGAGGAGTGTGTGTGAGAAGTGTGTGAGAAGTGTGTGTGTGTGAGGAGTGTGTGTGTGTGTGTGTGAGGAGTGTGTTTGTGTGTGTGTGTGTGTGTGAGGAGTGTGTGTGTGTGTGTGTGTGTGTGTGTGTGAGGAGTGTGTGTGTGTGTGTGTGTGAGGAGTGTGTGTGTGTGTGTGAGGAGTGTGTGTGTGTGTGTGTGTGAGGAGTGTCAGGACAGACACACACCATGTGTTCGGGGAGTGCTCCTCTTTCTGCTCCTCGAGGAGTGTGTGTGAGAAGTGTGTGAGAAGTGTGTGTGTGTGAGGAGTGTGTGTGTGTGTGTGTGAGGAGTGTGTTTGTGTGTGTGTGTGTGTGTGAGGAGTGTGTGTGTGTGTGAGGAGTGTGTGTGTGTGTGTGAGGAGTGTGTGTGTGTGTGTGTGTGTGAGGAGTGTGTGTGTGTGTGTGAGGAGTGTGTGTGTGTGTGTGTGTGAGGAGTGTCAGGACAGACACACACCATGTGTTCGGGGAGTGCTCCTCTTTCTGCTCCTCGAGGAGTGTGTGTGAGAAGTGTGTGAGAAGTGTGTGTGTGTGAGGAGTGTGTGTGTGTGTGTGTGAGGAGTGTGTTTGTGTGTGTGTGTGTGTGTGAGGAGTGTGTGTGTGTGTGTGTGTGTGTGTGTGAGGAGTGTCGGGACAGACACACACCGTGTGTTCGGGGAGTGCTCCTCTTTCTGCTCTTCGAGGAGTGTGTGAGGAGTGTGTGTGTGTGTGTGTGTGTGTGTGAGGAGTGTGTGTGTGAGGAGTGTGTGTGTGTGTGTGTGTGTGTGTGTGAGGAGTGTGTGTGTGTGTGTGTGTGTGTGTGAAGAGTGTGTGTGTGAGGAGTGTGTGTGTGTGTGTGTGTGTGTGTGTGTGTGTGAAGAGTGTGTGTGTGAGGAGTGTCAGGACAGACACACACCGTGTGTTCGGGGAGTGCTCCTCTTTCCCGCTGAGTTTACTCACAGCTCGAGTCGACGGCTTGCTGGGTTTATTCCTGAAACACAGACACAAATGAGGAATGATTCACTGATGTGAAGATCGGAGTGTGTGAGGATCTGGAGTGTGTGTGAGGATCTGGAGTGTGTGTGAGGATCTGGAGAGTATGTGAGGATCCAGAGAGTGTGTGAGGATCCAGAGAGTGTGTGAGGATCCGGAGTGTGTGTGAGGATCTGGAGTGTGTGTGAGGATCTGGAGTGTGTGTGAGGATCTGGAGAGTGTGTGAGGATCCAGAGAGTGTGTGAGGATCCAGAGAGTGTGTGAGGATCCGGAGTGTGTGTGAGGATCTGGAGTGTGTGTGAGGATCTGGAGAGTGTGTGAGGATCCAGAGAGTGTGTGAGGATCCAGAGAGTGTGTGAGGATCCGGAGTGTGTGTGAGGATCCGGAGTGTGTGTGAGGTGTGTGTGTGTGTGTGTGTGAGGAGTGTGTGTGTGTGTGTGTGTGTCAGTACTTCTCTGCCTCCAGACGGGACGCTGCTCGGGTCGTCGCTCGTGTTTTCGTCTCCTCTTCGTCCTCCTCCTTTTCTCCGTCTCGTTTCTCTGACGCTCCTGTATCTGTGAACGGCAGGAACACACTCAACATCACACAACCTTCTATTAAAAATTAATAAAAAAAATGTTTATATTAAAAAATTAATTATCAAATTAGATTAAAATAAAAAACATTTGATTTAAACAAAAAAAAAATGTACAGATTAAAATAAATGACAAAAAAATATAAATGGATAAAAATATTTAAATCAATTATATTATAATAGTACTATGAGTAATAAAAAACAATGTAATCAATAATACAAATAAAATAAATGTATTAAAACAAACAAATAATATATAAAAAATAAATAGAGTAAAATTAATTTAGAAAATGTGTAAATTGATAAAGTACTATAACAAGAAAGAAAAACTGTAATCATGTAATCAAAAATTAGATTAACAAATAAATAAACATGGGATGAAACCTATTAAAAAGAATAATTAATTAACTGAGTAAAAAAATGAGTAAATAAATGAATACATATAGTACAAGCAAGTCAAATCAATCAAAATACAAAATTAAAATAAATAAACATGAAAAATTTAATGAAAATTAAATTAAAACAAATAAAATAAAACACAATAAAATAAAAAAACAAACAAATAAATAAGCAAATGAGTAAGAAATAGATTAAAATAAATGCATATACAAATAATTGAATAAATACTGTACTATAAAAGTACTATAATGAGTGAGAAATTTTTTAAAATCAAAATTAGATTAAAATTAAATAAACAATTGATTGAAATAAATACATTAAAATAAATAAGAAAAATGTTAAGTAAAAAAAAAAATTAAAATAAAGTGAATAAATGAGTAGAATATATAGTAACTATAACAGTGAGTACAAATAATTTAACTTAATAGAAATTTAATATTTTCAACATATTTAAAATATAAATTTTTCACAATATAAACTGGATCTTAATACTTGAAACTATATAAATGCCTTTTAATATTCTGCAGGCATGAGGATGATCATATCTGGGGTCCGTGGCATTTATTAAAGTTATGATGTAATATCACGGCTCTCGTACCCGAGTCATCAGTGGAGGACGCTTTGCAGGGTCGTCCTCGGCGGGCAGGTTTCCTCTGAACACACACACACACACACACACACACACGTCAGTCAGTGATTCATATGTCTGATGGTTTAGTGTCAGGAGTGTTTGTTCGCTCACACTCACATCTTCCTCATCTTTTCTCTCCTCGTCTTCATCGCTGGCTTTGATCACGTCCTGATCTTCACACACACTCGCTGAGAGAAATCAAACACAGAACGAGGAAAATGAGCATTCAGGCTTCATTCAGTGAGTTTCTGACTGCTGTTTTACACACACACACACACACACACACACACACACACACACACTGGATTACACACACTGGATTACACACACTGGATTACACACACACTGGATTACACACACACTGGATTACACACACACACACACACACTGGATTACACACACACACTGGATTACACACACACACACACACACACACACACTGGATTACACACACACACTAGATTACACACACACACACTGGATTACACACACACACACACTGGATTACACACACACACACACACAAACAGACATACACATCTTTGTGGGGACTCTCCATAGACGTAATGATTTTATACTGTACAAACTGTATATTCTGTTCGCTTACACTAACCCTATCCCTAAACCTGCCCATCACAGGAAACATTCTGCATTTTTACATTTTCAAAAAACATTACTTATTATGATTTAAAAGCTGTTTTACTCATGGGGACCGCTGACTGGTCCCCACAATGTAATCTAAACATGAACACACACACACACACACACACTGGATTACACACACACACTGACCTTCATCTCTCCTGTGTTTGGCTGATGGTTCTGGTTCTGGTTCTGCTGTGGAACACAGAAGCTCGTCTGATGATCTCTTACGCTTCAGTGCAGGTTTCACTGCAGAGAGAGAGAAACTGATCATCTACACACAGACAGACACGAGTGTGAGTGTGTGTGTGTGAGAGAGATAGAGAGAGAGAGATAGAGAGAGAAACTGATCATCTACACAGACAGACACGTGTGTGAGTGTGTGTGTGTGTGTGTGAGAGAGAGAGAGAGAGAGAGAGAGAGAGAGAGAGAGAGAGAGAGAGAGAGAGAGAGAGAGAGATAGTGTGTGTGTGTGTGTGTGAGTGTGTTTCAGTCTCTCACCTGAGGGAGCGTCTCTGATCTGAGCTGTGGAGCGTCGACTCCTGCGACCCTGATAATAAAAACAACAAACATTTCAGTCCCATAAAAACATTGATCACATGACCTGGAATAAACATCTCATCATAGTCTAAGATTTGGTATAATACATGGTCACGACATTTCTCTCTTATTTGGAAAAAAAGTTAGACTTTTCAATTTACCTTCTGAAAGCAACTTAAATTAACGACTTTTGCTTTGTTGATATTGTCCATTAAAAAACTGAAACAATTAAAAATAATTTTTTGTTAAGGCCTGACACTACAGGTGAATAGGGTAAACATGTAAACTAATATACACCACATACTTCCCCAAGTGGATTTACAACATGTTTGTATTACAGTTTTATTAAATGTTTAAATATGAATATGAGACATTGTCTCATGAAATATGCACTAATCTGCATACATTTCCAGCACATTAATCTGAAAATTGAATAAAGCCAGGTTCAAAATTCTTGTTTGATTTAGTTGACATATTAGAGTTGAAGGTTTTTATAGAAGGGATTTTGGATTTCTCTTTTTATCACTCCATAAATCAGAAAATACTGTCAACAGACAGAAAAAAACACATTTTCACCATGTTTTAGGAATAAAATGTTATATAAATCAGTGTGAATGATATATGAACAAACCCCTCAGTAAAAACCTTCAGAATATAGATATGAATGAAACTGTAAGTTTTGGAATTTATAAGTGCTGCTGAAGTGGAGAAAAAAACTTTTAAAGATATGTATCGTAATAGAAATCTACAGACGCCAGTAGATAAAGTGCAATAAAATGTGTATTTTGGATGTTTTTATTTTTTTACCAGTCTGAAAAAAAAAGATGTTATGGAGGCAAAATAATCCAAAATCTCAAAACTAAACAGTGAATGTAGCGTCTTGGCTTAATTGAAATAAAGCTGAAATAAAATAAAATATAAGCATAAAAAAAAAAAAACATTTTATCTCAAATGTATATCAAAATTTAGAAATGCCTTTGAAACGAACTGAAATAAGTCGAAGTACTTATAGTTTTCATAGTAAGTAAATATAAATTAAAGCTAAATAGAAATATCGACCAAAAACTACCAAAAACTAGTAAAAGCACCTAACATGACTAAAACAAACCACATTAAAAGAAAACGAAAATACAAAAATAAAAGCTAATTCAAAATATGAATAAATATTTGAATAGTATATAAATAGCAGTGGCTCTGAGAGTGACGTTATCTCGTGTCTCGTTTTCATCATAAACAAACATAAAATATTCCTGAAAGTAAAATTTTCTGTACAGGTTTGGCGTGATGATGATGATAACAACGATTCTTCTTTTATAAATTCACATAAATACTACATGTACTAATAATATGATCAGTTGTACGATCTTATTAAAAGCAGAATGTCTCTGATTTTAATATATTTTTCAAACTGACTATTAAAACTGTGTCTTGCTGGTCAACAAACTCGACAAAAAGACAATAGATATCAAAATAGTTATTATAATTCTTCTTTTTAAAATTAGGATCAAGTGTTTTTTTCTTTAAATAAAAACTGAAGAATATAAACACACCTCTTTTGGCTCCTCCTCCACAGCTGGCTCCGCCTCCTTCGGTTGTAAAGCAGAGCCTTATGGGAAAGAGCAGAGAAACGGTCACATGACACGGAGCGTGTGCGAAGGACGGCTCAAGGCGTGTGTAACGCAGACTCTTACGTGTTTCTCTCTGAGGAGCATCAGATGCTTTGGAGGATCTTCCTCTGCGTGGAGTCCGGCTCACTCCAGATCTCTCTTCATCATCCTCATCATCATCACCATCATCATCACACTGTCAGACACATCACACACTTTAATAGAAGAACAGAGAGAGAGAGAGAGAGAGAGAGAGAGAGAGAGAGAGAGAGAGAGAGAGAGAGTGTGTGTGTGTGTGTGTGTGTGTGTAAAGAAAACTCACCTCTTTATTGGACGTTTGCTCTTTTTCATTATCGGTTCTGGTTTGATTTGCTGCAGTCAGATAAACAAAGTTTAATTTCAGATTCTACATGTTATTCATTCAGGAAACATGCTTTTTAGACGAGAAAAACATGTTACAGGACTCCAGACTCCGTAGCCCCTAACTGAACATTTTTAGGAGAACAGGCCGAAAATTTAGGGGCACATCATAAAGGGCCGGTTGTTTATGATTCCACTGTTCAAACTGTAGTTAGTGTGTAATGTTGCTGTTTGAGCATAAACAACATCTGCAAAGTTACAACGCTCAAAGTTCAAAGCAAAGGAAGATATTTGCTTTTACAGAAATCGCTTTTTAAGGACTACACCAAACAGCTGGTAGAACTACACGAACTTCTTCACGGGTTAGTGACATCACAAACCCTAAGATTTGCATAAACCCCACCCCTGGGAACACGATTTATAGATTATCATGACAGAATATGCTAATCAATGACTAGAAGATAACTACACATAAGCTACCTAAATTCATCAACTAACCATTCAGATATGTCCTGTTGCATTTACCAATTGCCTTGGTAATAAATAAACTTAATATACAGAAATTACAATGTGCCATTTTATTTAAGGTTCACATGCTCCAGACTAACATCTGAGGGCAGCAGCAGCACCTCTGAGATCTGCAGACAGTATCTGGTAGCACTGTGGGGATTACAATAAAGCACTGAGCTTAATCTAAGCTAATAAGCCAATTAGAGTCCTCTGCAGCCACCTACTGGTTACAATGGTAATTTAATCTTTTTTTATTTTTAAATAAGCGTAAATTTTCCTACATCTTGAAACTTTTGGTTTTATCGCTTCCTTTTTCTGCCCAGTCCAGGTAGTGTAACCACTGTTCCTTTAAACATGCAAACTATGCTTCCAACTGTGTCTCTAGGAACATTTAGTGCCTTCGCTATCTTTTTGTATCCTGTTCCTTGTTTGTGAAGGGTGATGATTCCCTCTCTTAACTTTTTGGACCATTCTTTTCACTTAGCCATATTTGTAACTTGCAGTCAAACGTGACACTCAACAAACCTAGCCAGTTCAGATATTTTGTGTGTTCTAGCTCAAGCACACCTGGTGCAGCTAATGAAGCCCTTGATTAGTTGCAACACCTTTTTGGCAGATTTGTGCTGTTGTGAGGGATTCTATTCAGGGGGTTGAATAATTTTGAAACTGCAGAAGTCATTAAAAGTTGAGCTATTTCAATTACATTTGTTTGGTTTGTTCATTACAAAAAGCTGAAAGTCTGTAAATTGTGACAATAATGCAATGGGGGTTGAATAATTTCGATTGCAACTGCATATACAATTTTCAAAAAAATTGCACCGGCAGATAAATTTGGTCCACAATTTGGTTGCAGTCTGGAGCCCTGTGTTATTTTACATTACCACACACACACACACACCTGCCCTCTGAGCAGATGATCGTCCTCTCCGTGTGCCGCTCTCGGTCTGCTCCACCTGATCAGACAAAGTCATGAGCATTAATGACATGAGCATGATTTCCTGCATAATATCTGCTGATGAAACGATTCTGATTCGTTACCGTCTCAGAGGCGTCTGATGACTTCTGTTCCTGCTCGTCTGAGACAGATGCGCTGCCTGCATCAGACGCACGGGTTACACTGAGATAATCACACACTCATAATCAGAATCATACACTCCTAATCATCACTGTCACTAACCTGTGTCCGTAGAGTCGGTCTGCGCAGGCACAGCTGCATCTGTAGAGTCGGTCTGCGCAGGCTCATCTACTGTCTGCACAGGCTCAGCTTCTGTCTGCACAGGCTCAGCTACTGTCTGCACAGGCTCAGCTTCTGTCTGCACAGGCTCATCTACTGTCTGCACAGGCTCAGCTTCTGTCTGCACAGGCTCAGCTTCTGTCTGCACAGGCTCAGTTACTGTCTGCACAGGCTCAGCTTCTGTCTGCACAGGCTCAGCTTCTGTCTGCACAGGCTCAGCTTCTGTCTGCACAGGCTCAGCTTCTGTCTGCACAGGCTCAGCTTCTGTCTGCACAGGCTCAGCTTCTGTCTGCACAGGCTCAGCTTCTGTCTGCACAGGCTCAGTTACTGTCTGCACAGGCTCAGCTTCTGTCTGCACAGGCTCAGCTTCTGTCTGCACAGGCTCAGTTACTGTCTGCGCAGGTACAACTGCATCTGTGGTGAGTGTCTGCGCAGGTTCAACTGTGTCTACTGTATGAGTCTGCATAGGCTCGTTTGCATCTGTCTCTGTGTCTGCAGCAAGGGTCTGCGCAGGCTCCACTGCGTTTGCGGAGAATGTCGACGCAAGTTCTGCTGTTTTTTCTATGAGGGTCGGCAAAGGCTCATCTGTATCGGTCTCCTTTGTGTCTACAGTGAGGGGCTGTGCAGGCTCTGCCACATCTGCAGTGACTGTTGCTTCAGCTGCGTCTGCAGTGACTGTTGTCGTTGATTCAGCTGCGTCTGCAGTGACTGTTGCTTCAGCTGCGTCTGCAGTGACTGTTGCCGTTGATTCAGCTGCGTCTGCAGTGACTGTCGCCGTTGATTCAGCTGCGTCTGCAGTGACTGTTGTCGTTGATTCAGCTGCGTCTGCAGTGACTGTTGCCGTTGATTCAGCTGCGTCTGCAGTGACTGTTGCCGTTGATTCAGCTGCGTCTGCAGTGACTGTTGTCGTTGATTCAGCTGCGTCTGCAGTGACTGTTGCCGTTGATTCAGCTGCGTCTGCAGTGACTGTTGCCGTTGATTCAGCTGCGTCTGCAGTGACTGTTGCCGTTGATTCAGCTGCGTCTGCAGTAAGAGTCTGCGCAGGGGACTCAGCCATGTCTGCACTGAGGGTTTGTACCGTCTCAGGAGTGTCTGTAATGATCATCTGCATGGGATCGGACGCATCTTCAGCCAAAGTCTGCACTGACAAGGCTGCATCTGCAGTGACGGTCTGTGTCTGCTTAGCTGCATTTGCAGTGACAGTCATCGGCTTAATATCATCCGTCTGTATTGGTTCAGCTGCGTCTGCAGTGAGGGTCTGCATTGGCTCAGCTGCGTCTGCAGTGAGGGTCTGCGTTGGCTCAGCTGCGTCTGCAGTGAGCGTCTGCGTTGGCTCAGCTGCGTCTGCAGTGAGCGTCTGCGTTGGCTCAGCTGCGACTTCAGTGAGGGTCTGCTTTGGCTCAGCTGCATCTGCAGTGAGGGTCTGCGTTGGCTCAGCTGCGACTTCAGTGAGGGTCTGCGTTGGCTCAGCTGCGACTTCAGTGAGCGTCTGCGTTGGCTCAGCTGCGACTTCAGTGAGGGTCTGCTTTGGCTCAGCTGCATCTGCAGTGAGGGTCTGCGTTGGCTCAGCTGCGTCTGCAGTGAGGGTCTGCGTTGGCTCAGCTGCGTCTGCAGTGAGGGTCTGCGTTGGCTCAGCTGCGTCTGCAGTGAGGGTCTGCGTTGGCTCAGCTGCGTCTGCAGTGAGGGTCTGCGTTGGCTCAGCTGCGTCTGCAGTGAGGGTCTGCGTTGGCTGAGCTGCGACTTCAGTGAGGGTCTGCGTTGGCTCAGCTGCGTCTGCAGTGAGGGTCTGCGTTGGCTCAGCTGCGTCTGCAGTGAGGGTCTGCGTTGGCTCAGCTGCGACTTCAGTGAGGGTCTGCGTTGGCTCAGCTGCGTCTGCAGTGAGGGTCTGCGTTGGCTCAGCTGCGTCTGCAGTGAGGGTCTGCTTTGGCTCAGCTGCGTCTGCAGTGAGGGTCTGCGTTGGCTCAGCTGCGTCTGCAGTGAGGGTCTGCGTTGGCTCAGCTGCGACTTCAGTGAGGGTCTGTGTTGGCTCAGCTGCGTCTGCAGTGAGGGTCTGCGTTGGCTCAGCTGCTTCTGCAGTGAGGGTTTGTGTTGGCTCAGCTGCAACTTCAGTGAGGGTCTGTGTTGGCTCAGCTGCGTCTACAGTGAGCGTCTGCGTGGACTCATTAACATCTGCAGTGAGCGTCTGCGTTGGCTCAGCTGCGTCTGCTGTAAGTATCTGTGAGTCTCTCTCTTTGTCCCTTTCATCTGTCTGCTCATCCCCCACCTAAAAGAAAAGCACCAACACATTACAGGAGATACACAAACACTCCAGCAATCAGAAAAACCCACAGGAAGAATCTGATAAATTAGGCTTCCTTTACATGCCAAACGACTCGTCTCCAAAGTAGAAGAGAGCAGGCAGCTGCAGAACAGCAAATGAGGCAGAGGCGAACAGTGCGATCACGTTCTTTGTTGCCAATCAAATGCGCTACTGCCGCACGGACAACACTTTAGTTACTCCATTGTACACTTCAGACACATGTTTTCTCCCATCACTGTCATCATCTAGCTACTGGAGTGCCTCAGGGCTCTCCAGTAGCTCTCCAGTAGGGTTTTTCTGATTGCTGAGCGGCAGTGGCTCAGTGGTTCATGTAATTTGTCTACAAACCGGAAGGTTGGTGGTTCAATCCCCGGTTCCACTTGACCAAGTGTCGAGGTGTCCATGAGCAAGACACCTAACCCCAGCTGCTCCCGACGAGCTGGATGGCGCCTTGCATGGCTGCCGTTGCCCGTCGGTGTATGAATGAGAGAGTGAATGTGAGGCAAATTGTAAAGCGCTTTGGTGGCCATTGGGTCTGTGAAAGCGCTATATATAAATGCAGTCCAGGGCTCAGTGCTGGGACCGCTTCTCTTCTCCATCTACATGTCATCACTAGGATCTGTCATTCAGAAACATGGTTTATCCTATCACTGTTATCATCTAGCTATTGAAGTGCCTCAGGGCTCAGTGCTGGGACCGCTTCTCTTCTCCATCTACATGTCATCACTGGGATCTATAATTCAGAAACATGTTTTTTCCCATCACTGCGATCATCTAGCTACTGGAGTGCCTCAGGGCTCAGTGCTGGGACCGCTTCTCTTCTCCATCTACTCTTCATTGGGATCTGTCATTCAGAAACATGGTTTATCCCATCACTGCTATCATCTAGCTACTGGAGTGCCTCAGGGCTCAGTGCTGGGACCGCCTCTCTTCTCCATCTACAGTGGGGCCAAAAAGTATTTAGTCAGCCACTGATTGTGCAAGTTCTCCTACTTAGAATGATGAGAGAGGTCTGTAATTTTCATCATAGGTACACTTCAACTATGAGAGACAAAATGAGAGAAAAAAATGCAGGAAATCACATTGTAGGATTTTTAAAGAATTTATTTGTAAATTATGGTGGAAAATAAGTATTTGGTCACCCACAAACCAGCAAGATTTCTGGCTCTCACAGACCTGTAACTTCTTCTTTAAGAAGCTCTTTTGTCCTCCACTCGTTACCTGTATTAATGGCACCAGTTTGAACCCGTTATTTGTATAAAAGACACCTGTCCACAGCCTCAAACAGTCACACTCCAAACTCAACCATGGCCAAGACCAAAGAGCTGTCGAAGGACACCAGGAAGAAAATTGTAGACCTGCACCAGGCTGGGAAGAGTGAATCTACAATAGGCAAGCAGCTTGGTGTGAAAAAATCAACTGTGGGAGCAACTGTAAGAAAATGGAAGACATACAAGACCATTGATAATCTCCCTCGATCTGGGGCTCCACGCAAGATCTCATCCCGTGGAGTCAAAATGATCATGAGAACGGTGAGCAAAAATCCCAGAACTACACGGAGGGACCTGATGAATGACCTGCAGAGAGCTGGGACCAAAGTAACAAAGTCTACCATAAGTAACACACTACGCCGAGAGGGACTCAAATCCTGCAGTGCCAGGCGTGTCCCCCTGCTTAAGCCAGTACATGTCCAGGCCCGTCTGAAGTTTGCCAGATGATCCAGAAGAGGATTGGGAGAATATCATGTGGTCAGATGAAACCAAAATAGAACTTTTTGGTAAAAACTCAACTCGTCGTGTTTGGAGGAAGAAGAATGCAGAGTTGCATCCCAAGAACACCATACCTACTGTGAAGCATGGGGGAGGAAACCTCATGCAAAGGGGACAGGAAAACTGATCCGTGTTAAGGGAAGAATGAACGGGGCCATGTATCGTGAGATTTTAAGCCAAAACCTCCTTCCATCAGTGAGAGCCTTGAAGATGAAACGTGGCTGGGTCTTCCAGCATGACAATGATCCCAAACACACCGCCCGGGCAACGAAGGAGTGGCTTCGTAAAAAGCATTTCAAGGTCCTAGAGTGGCCTAGCCAGTCTCCAGACCTCAACCCCATAGAAAATTTGTGGAGGGAGTTGAAAGTCCGTGTTGCCCAGCGACAGCCCCGAAACATCATTGCTCTAGAGGAGATCTGCATGGAGGAATGGGCCAAAATACCAGCTACAGTGTGTGCAAACCTGGTGAAGACTTACAGGAAACGTTTGACCTCTGTCATTGCCAACAAAGGTTATGTTACAAAGTATTGAGTTGAACTTTTGTTATTGACCAAATACTTATTTTCCACCATAATTTACAAATAAATTCTTTAAAAATCCTACAATGTGATTTCCTGGATTTTTTTTTCTCCTTTTGTCTCTCATAGTTGAAGTGTACCTATGATGAAAATTACAGACCTCTCTCATCATTCTAAGTAGGAGAACTTGCACAATCAGTGGCTGACTAAATACTTTTTGGCCCCACTGTACATGTCATTAAAAGGATCTGTCATTTAGAAACATGGCTTTTCCCATCACTGCTATGGTGATGACACTTTACTTCTCATTTCAACTAGTTGATCCACCTTCAACTCAACCTTGTGAAGACAGAACTGCTTGTGGTCTCAGCCAACCTAACACTTCATCACAACTTCTCCATTCAGCTGTAGGTTCATCATGAATGAATGAATGAATGAATGAGGCATTTATATAGCGCTTTCATATGTACTACTGTACACCCAAAGCGCTTTACAATCATATCAGGGGTTCTCTCCTCAACCAGCACCAGTGTGCAGCATCCACTTGGATGATGCGACGGCAGCCACAGTACAACGGCGCCAGTGCGCTCACCACACATCAGCTATAGTTGGAGAGGAGAGAGAGTGATAGAGCCAATTCAGTGGATGGGGATTATTAGGAGGCCATGATTGGCAGGGGCCAATGGGTGGAATGTGGCCAGGACACCGGGGTTACACCCCTACTCTTTACGAGAAGTGCCATGGGATTTTTAATGACCACAGAGAGTCAGGGCCTCGGTTTAACGTCTCATCCGAAGGACGGTGCTCTTTGACAGTATAGTGTCCCCGTGACTATACTGGGGCGTTAGGACCTACACAGAGCACAGGGTGAGCGCCCCCTGCTGGCCTCACTAACACCTCTTCCAGCAGCAACCTGGTTTTCTCAGGAGGTCTCCCATCCAGGTACTAACCAGGCTCAGCCCTGCTTAGCTTCAGTGGGCAACCAGTCTTGGGCTACAGGGTGATATGGCTGCTGGCCATCATCCATAACTCCATCAAGGTCAGCCAGGAATCTTGGAGTTGTGATTGATAATCAGTTAAGCTTCAAAGACCATTTTACTACAACGGCCAGGTCCTGCAGATCTACTTTACACAACATTAGGAAGATTAGACCCTTCGTATCAGAGCAGGCCACACAACACCTTGTCCAAGCTCTCGTTCTCTCCAGACTGGACTAATGTAATGCGTTCTTAGCGGGCCTTCCGGCATGTACTATCAAGCCTTTACAACCGATTCAGGGTGATCTTCAGCGAGCCGAAGAAAGCCCACGTCACTCCTCTCTTCATCAGTTTGCACTGGCTGCCAATAGCCGCTCGCATCAAATTCAAGGCACTGTTGATGTTTACCTACAAGACAACCACGGACTCTGCTAGTTCAGACTTATGCGCCCTCCAGAAGCTTGCGTTCTGTTCCCAGCTGGACTGTTCCCAGCTGGTGGAGAGACCTGCCCATCTCAATTCGAGTACCTGAGTCTTTAACCATTTTCAAAAAATGTCTAAAGACACATCTTTTTCGTCAGCACCTGACCAATTAATACTAGCACTTACCTTGTCTATTCTGTTTTTTTTTCTGATTTAAAAACAAAACAAAAAACCCTTGCTATGTGCACTGTGCTAGACTAAAGGCTCGTTCACACCAAGGACGATAACTATAAAGATAACGATAAAGATATAGTTCTAAAAATCGTTCTCCATATTAAAGGATAGCAGAGTTCTCACCACAACTGTAACGAAAAAGATATGAGGAACGATATCGTCGGAATCACTTTCAGAACGATTTTTTCCCCCAGCTGTCGAACGATCAAACACTGACAGCCAATCAGAATCCACTCAAATTAAAGAGCTTGCGCATTTAAAACAGCAAACGACATGGCGGAGAAGTAAAATCCACCACTGTTTCAAGAAAATGAATATGGAAAACAATCGTTCATACCCTCTGAATAAATGGTGAGGAGGATTACCTCAAGTATCCAGCGCTCGTTTACACAACATTGTGTTGCTTCCTTTGAACTTGCAGTGTAAAAGACTAGGTTTTGTTTTTATTTCACTATATTAACTACGGCAGCTAAATTCCCTGTAGATTATTATATCGATTACACTAGCTTCACTCAAAACACAGCATGCTGATCATCTCCTGGTGAAAACCGTGTAAATGCAACAAGAACAGCAAAAACATGACGTTGTACACACTTTGAAACCGCAGCACGCAAGCTTAGAATAAACAGCCCGTTATCGTTAGTTGGTGTGGACGCAAATATAGTTATCGTTACAGTTATCTTTATAGTTATCAATCTTGGTGTGAACGGCCCCTTAATGAGACTTATTACAGCAGTTGTATACTGTTGCCCTCTTGTTGGTCTGATTGTTTTATTGTTCTCATTTGTAAGTCGCTTTGGATAAAAGCGTTTGCTAAATGATTAAAAAGTAAATGTAAATGCAATACAGCGTATGCATATGAAGCACTGCTGCTTCAACATGAAGAATGATTTAATGAACAAAAAACCCAATATATGTATAACTGAAGCAAAACCTCATGATTGTTCTAAGCCAATAAGCATTAGAGCAGCAGAGATCGGTTCTCTGCAGTTAAGCCAAACAATCTGAGACTGTAGAGGATATGACGTCATGAGCTCACCTCTGATGTCACTTCCTGCAGAGGCTCCGTCTCCATGGGCTCCACAGATGCAGCTAGTAGATGAAATCAGTTATTATGAGGTTTTATTATTCACATGCATATGATGATGCACGTGTTTGTGTGTGTTAGAGTATATTGACCTAAAAACGAGAGCTAGATATTTTGCACATTGCCTGATTTACTTTCATCCTTCCCTCAGGTCATTTTGACCCGAAAATCATTTTTCATTTTTTTTCTTCAAAATTCCAAGACCCTAGGACTTCTGTCGCACTTGAACTACGAATACACCATCAAAAATTTAATGGATTCGAGGAGTTTTGTGGTTGAAATTGAAATATGAAAAAAAAGAAGAAGAAAAAAAAAGCTTTCTGGACAAAAAAAAAATAAAAAAAAATAGGCTAACTATAATTTTAGGGCTTCATGTCATTTTGACCCGCGACAGAAAGATGTGTTACAAAGTGCGAGGGAAGGATGAAGGTTAATGTTAACAACAATCTATTATGGTAATCTATACACTACCTGCATCCTGGGACTCGTTCACAGCGTAACACGACACACTTCCAGCGCCCGTAGGGAGTGTTTTCCCGTCGCCCGGAGACTCTGAGACGAGATTCGAGGAGCGCGCGAGATCGGGGTCCATGGAGAGCAGCGTCAGCGCCGCCTCCTTCATCTTCAGATCCGCTTCGGTCTCCCGGCGCTCCGAGGCGGAGGAGCACACGTCCATCAGGCTCAGGAGGGCGTCGGCTTCTGCGCTCAGGGGGCGGGGCTCTGCGCTCAGGGGGCGGGGCTCTGCGACGGACACGCCCTCGTCCTCGGATTCGGGAGTGACGTCGCTCAGCGCACCGTACGGGTCGTTCGGGTGAACTGTGGTGCTGGACACGGATTCGGGATCTCCAGCGCTCGAATCCTCCTTCGCTCCCGATATCCTCTCGGGATCCTTCGGCAACTTCTTCTCGGTTGTTTTCTTCGCTAACTTCGCTTTCTCCTCTGAGGTTTTCCTTTCCTCTTTTCCTATTTTAGTCTTGGCTTCGGGTTTTTTATCCGATTTTCCTGCACTACTCTGGGATTTAGTCCTGTGTTTCTCCGATAAGGATCTGACCTTTGACCCCGCCTCCACCTTTCGGACGTCGCTCTCGTTTTCCGAGATTGATTTCTGCGAATGATTCTTGTCCGACGACGAATCCTTCCTCTCAGACCTCACCTTGAGCTTCTCTCCCAGTTTACCCTCCGGATGACTCTTTGACCTCTTCAGGACCTCTTTAGGGTGCTTGTCTTTCTTCCGGCTGACCTCTGACCCCGCCTCGACCTCTGACCTCTCCTCTGAGGAGCCGGTGGAGTCCAGACGCCGGAGACTCTTGCCGCTCACCTTGGCTTTCTCCTTCTCGCTCTTTCCTTTCTTCAGGTTCTCTTCATCCGCAGCTTCCGCCACAAGCGTCTTGACCTCTCGGGATGAGACAGAACTCTTCCGGTCCGGCTTGACCTTTGACCCCTTCTTCTCATCAGCTGCTCCTCTCGCGGTTCCTCCATCTTTCTCGTCTCCGTCTCCGGTCTTTCGGAGTTTGTGCTTGAGTCGTTCATCAGGGCGCTCTTTTTCCTTCTCTTTATCCTTGCGCTCCTTTTCTTTCCGAACCGTTTTCCCAGCCGTCCTCTGGCGTTCCTCGGTTCCCAGCTCCAGATCCAAGATGAAGGAGTGAACGCGGTTCTTCTCAGGCAGTTTCTCCTCGCCGTCTGCTTTCTTCTTGCGCTGCTCTTCCAGATCGGACAGTCGTCGCACTGACTTCAGACTCACCGACTTCACCTGAAGAGAAACAGAGATGCTACGACTGATCAGGGTTCCCACACCTTGGTTTACTACAAATTCAAGGACCTTTCAAGGACTTTCCAGGTCCAATAACCTCAGATTCAAGGGTACAAGTAAGGTTACACCGTGTTACCTTGTAAGATTCATTGTAACAGTTTCCATGTTTCAATAAATATGGAATTTCCAGAAAACTTCTTGCACAAAATAAATTCAAGAACTTTTAAGTCCTGTATCTGTGTGCTTATCTTCAAAAACTTTCCAGGGCTTTGCATTTTTTCCCCCCAGATTCACAAACTTTCAAGGATTTCAAGGACCCGTGGGAACGCTGATATGACAGACTGAGAGAAAAAGCTGGAGAACGAGAGAAACTTACATCTTTGTTGACTGAATCCCCCTCAGTGTCACTTTTCTTCCTGTCGTCCTCTTTTCTAAAAGACAGAGTCAAGTCAAGATTTATACAGCGCTTTTATTTAACAAATTGTTCCACAGCAGCTTTACAGTGATAACAGGAGATTACAGTAACAGAGAGTGTTTAGGCTTTACAGCAGCTCTAGAATAAAGTTATTGTCCAGATAAAGTTAGTTTTGATTGATTCACTTCCGTTGTAAAGATCATTAGTTATTAACTTAGAGGCCGCTAACACACACCACTCTAACAGAACACCCTTAACGCACTCCGGCTCATTCACACAACAGTGCCTGGAGCTCGAGAACACAAACCTTGAAACAGGTGCAAGCGGTGAAAATGATTTAAAAACGTTATCATCTCCCCGTAAACTTCAAAAACGCAAATCTGTGAAAACGCTGATGGCGTGCAAAGAGTCAAGAACTACATTTACATGCACCCTCATAATGCGAGATTTAGGCAATATTGCGATTAAACTTGACCTCATGTAAACAATACTTCGATTAAATTGACTGAAAGTGTAATTCCTAGGAAGTTCTCCAATATATCCTGAGGAACATGAGGCATTAGGGTTATCTGATTTACTATGGAAGCCTATTTTTACTGCAAAGGGGAAAAAACTTATGACAATTCAAAATGATGACATACTAAGAAAATTAAATTTTTCATTGAATTTTGAAAATTCTAATTATGAGAGTCAAAATTAAGACGAAAGTAAATTCCTAGGAAATTCTCTGATATTTTCTTAGGAACATTTATTTTCTCAAGAAAATTGGTGTTTTCTGATATTTATGGAAGCCCATTTTTACCACATAGAAAACACAATTATGACATTAAATTCAAAATGATAACACACTACATCAAAATTATGAGGTGAAAATTCAAATGAGTCAAAATTATGACAGTCAAAATCAAACTCGTAACTTTTGTTTTTTAGTGTTTATATTTTAAATAGTTAATTAATTAATTAATTAATTAGTTAGTTAATTTAGTTAATTAATGAGACTATGTCAAGACGGAGAGATCTTTTTTAGCATCAATTCAGAATTCAGAATATTCATAACCTTATTCTTAAGTTAGAAAACAATAGTAAAATAAGAGTAATTGTGTTTTTGGCGAGTCCCACAGACCTGGAGTCCCTCTTCCTCTGGATGCTCAGAGCCACTTTCTTCTCCAGGACCTTCTTCTCCTTCCGAGCCTCTTTGGCTCGCGGTCTCTGATCCGCCAGTCTCTTACGGTCTGAGGGAGAACATCAGGTCAGAGATCAGGAGTGTGTTTCCCCGAAAGCAGCGTTAGCCAACTGTGATCGCGAGTTCTGCCGTAATCAGCAGTTCAACGAGTCGTGTTTCCCGAAACCATCGTTCCAACGAACATTCGCAAACAGCATCTCAGAGGAGTGTGTGTGAGCGACAGCATCTCAGAGGAGTGTGTGTGAGCGACAGCATCTCAGAGGAGTGTGTGTGAGCGACAGCATCTCAGAGGAGTGTGTGTGAGCGACAGCATCTCAGAGGAGTGTGTGTGAGCGACAGCATCTCAGAGGAGTGTGTTTGAGTGACAGCATCTCAGAGGAGTGTGTTTGAGCGACAGATCTAGACATGTGGACTCAATTAATCCTGATCTTGAGCAAAATAATCAACCTGACATTTAGTGTCTTTTATTTAGAACACATACAAATGTCATTTACATCTTTGAGTTTGTCAAGAGATTTAAAGCGTAGTGTTTGAAGAGTGCGCATGTGTGAACGAGCTCTAGTGTAAGAACGAGACTATGAGTGAATCTGGAAATAAAGCAAAATAACTGAGAAAAATTTGAAATATTCCTCAGATGACATGTTTGTAATTTATAGCAAAACATCCAGCGTTAATTCGATCTCAAACAGATTCATTAACAGTAGTGATTACTCCACGTCATAAACCAAAGCGGTTCAACGACCAATTTGCGACAATACAGTTTCGGGAAACAGTCGAGACTTCTTCAACGATGCATCGTACTCTGATAGTAAAGCAGCGAGTTACGCCGTTGTATGGGAAACACACCCCAGATCATTAATGCAAACACACACACACACACACGTGTACCCTGTTCCTCGTTCTGCGCTGCTCTCAGTCTGCGCTTCTCCTCCATCCGCTCTCGGTTCTGCTGTCGCTTCAGGAGACGCTCCTCTTTTTCTTTGGCCTGCGAAGTCAAAGAAACTTAAGAGTTTGAGATTTTGACAAAAACAACAAAGACCAGATGAAAATTGTGCATTTTGACGATAATTTAAACAGCTACATTTTAATTAAAAGATTTTGTTGATAAAAACTTAAAAAGATAACAAGATATTAACAAAGCACTAATAATGTTCATTGAGGAAGAAAAATCAAAAAAAGACAAATTATTGTTTGAAATAACCAAATCCTAGTCAATCATCTTGAGCTGTGAGCGAAAGCTGAACAAAGCGAGTTAATAACTGTCATACGAGGTAATATAATAATCCTATATATATGAGATTCTCCAGAAAGCATAAACCTAATAACAAACTTCTGCACAAAATGACAAATGCACAAGCGATATAAAGCATAAAATGAGCTTTTACCATGTTTTTGTTCAATGTTGATATATGATTCATATATAAACTGTTAGAATTTAACTTTTGCACTAAACTATTAATTTCATTGGCTAAATGTATATGCAATTATATTCAGAATAAAATTAATGAACATGACATGATGAAATGTTGACTAAAATTAAAGTTTTATAAAAAATGATTAAAATTACAAAACTAAAATATAAACTTGTAAATGTAAACACCATTTAAAAATGTAAACACCATGTTTCTATAATAAAAATTAGGGTGAATGATGTATAAAGAAATCCCTCAGTAATAACCTTCAGAATATAGATAGGAATAAAACTGTAAGTTTTGGTGTGTGTAAGTATGACTGAAGTGGAGAAAAAACTCTTTAAAGATATGTACTGTAATTGAAATCTACAGACGCAAATAGATAAAGTGCAATAAAATAAACACTTAAATGTGTATTTTGGATGTTTTCTTTCCACCGGTCTAAAGCTGACTTCTGGAAGCCAGTGCATGAAACAACACTGGATATCCAACTTGCACCAATGTCAAATTTTTCTACATATTCTAATCATTTGTTAACATGTATTCCTTACTTTAATGAGCTCAAAGTTTCCACCTTAAATGAACACGTTGTTAGCTAACTGTGATTAGTGGTTTTGGTGACTGTATTAGCCTAGAGTGTGTTCTCACCACAGAGCGCCGGCGCTGCTCCACCGTCACCTCGTCGTCCGAGTCGCTGTAATACCGCGAGTACAGGAACGGCTTGTGTACGTATCCCTGTCTCACACCGCGCGGCTTCTTCTCCCTGCTGCCCTCCGAGTCCTCACCCGTCTTCTGCCCTGCCTCGTCTGCACACACACACACGTAAGCGCTGCACTGACACAGACGCCGATGTATGATTTATTACGCCTATGTTACCGACCAAACAAAAGCACATTCTTTCCATGTTGTCGCGAGTCGGAATAGGGTGAACAGAACAGAACCAACATGAAGCATTGCAGATATTATTAATCAATAAAGATTTTAATGTACAACATAATTGAAAATTTAGTCTGATTCAAAAGGGAATCCGAATACCAAACCCTGACTGAGACAGGAGGAGCTGGGGAGGAGGAGGGCAATCAGCTCCTGAGAGACACGACAGCTGCTGATAATACTGACGAGCTTATATATGAGACACACACACACACACACACACACACACACACTCACCCTCAGAGCTGATCTCTCCCTCCTCAGTGGACTCGCACAGAGGCTCGTCTTCTTCGCTGTCGATGAACGAGGACAGGTCGCTGGTGTGAACCGAACTCACGCTGATGTCACTGAGACCCTCCAGATCTGAGTCCTCCAGCGAGTACTCTAGCGAAACACACACAGTAAAATACTGAAATATGACTCCAGTGTAAATCAGCTGTTTTCTATGTGAATATACAGAAAAGTGTAATTTATTCCTGTGATCAAAGCTGAATTTCCAGCATCATTACTCCAGTCTTCAGTGTCACATGATCCTTCAGAAATCACTCTAATATGAGGATCTGATGCTCAAGAAACAGTTATGATTATTATCAGTGTTAAAAACAGTCAATATTTTTGTGGAAACTGAATATTTTATTTTTCAGGATTCTTTGATGAATAGAATTTGAAATAGAATCTTTTGTAACATTATAAATGTCTTTACTGGCACTTTTGATCAGTTTAATGCGTCATCAGACCGTGGAGACCCTCATACACTACTACTCAAAAACGTTTGGGGAAAGTTAAAATAATTAATACTTTTATTCATGAAGGACACATTAAACTGATCACAAGTGACAGTAAAGACATTTATAATGTTATTAAAGGGGTCATTAAATGGTACATGCACTTTTACAAGTTGATTGTACTGAAATGTGTGTTGGCAGTGCCTGTACACAACCATCATATAATGATAAAAATCCATCCAGTGGTTTTGTTTTAATCTCCTTATATGTTTCCCCCTGCCTCAAATCGAGCCGTTCAACCGTGTGACGTCACAGGCTCGCACGCCCCTCCCACGAGTGTTGATTGACAGGAGCGTTTCAACACAGACCCGCCCTCGCTCGTGAGCCAGCTGTCAATCATAGTCTGCGTGGACCGGCGCGGTCATTGTTGATATGCTGGAGCACTGTCTATGAGCAGAATGGCTCTAAGCGATTGTGGTGTTCTGTTCTTGGGTGTAATAACGAACACAGTCATTTTAATATTCCTGAATCCGAACCGCTGAAGACGCAGTGGCTGAGTTTGTTTTCGAAGGGAATATTCCCCACGAGCAACGTCAATGCTCTCATGTTTGCGCGAATCATTTCTCACCAGACTGCTTTATAAACAAGGATCAGTATAAAGCTGGTTTTGCTAAGAAGCTGCTCATGAATAAAGGATCGGTACCAGATATTCGTGTTCCTGCTGAACCTCCTGAAGAACTGAAGTGAGTGTAACGTTTTATTAAACTTTATATTAATATATTAATCTTTGCAAATCGCTAGCTGCACGCTTCACAATAAATGCGTCTAAGGTTTACACTCAGGGTACATTACGGCATGTTTTCTATGTATGACGTTCTCAATAAAATTCATAATCCCACGTCTATAATGAACAACGCGTTATGGTTATTGTGTTACAAACGTGTATGCGCAGAACAGAGAGGCGGAGTCAGCAAAACTCATGATCATTTAAAGTCATATGCACTGAAACGGCGTGCTGAAAACAGAGCTGTTTTTGACCAAGTAAAATAAGTGTTTTCTTACAATACTAATGAGAATTTTTAATTAAAGTATATTACAAACTTTTAATTTAGACCCTAAAGAATCATATTAGCTTGTACAAAAATGGCATTATATGACCCCTTTAAAGATTCTATATCAAATAAATGCTGTTCTTTTGAACTTTCTATTCATCAAAGAATCCTGAGAAATAAAATGCATCACAGTTTCCACAAAAATCTGAAATTTTTCCTGAACTCTAGGACATATGATTGAACACATAAAAGTATTAATATATGAACCGTTGGAATTTATAGCATAAATTGATATACAATTGTATCAACGGCTGCTTTTACATGCAACCAGATAATCCGCTGGTAATGGCACTGGCGGCTCAGTCGGCTTCATGTAAACGCATTAATCGATCGGCTGAGCTCGATCCCAGTGAAGTTCCGATCGGATTGAAAGGGGGGATTATTCCTTTTTAGCTCATAGTCTCCAAATTATGACCAGAAATGGATAAATATTAAGTCTGCTGTTTAAAATGTATGAGAAGGGTTATTATGCGCAGAGCAGAAACTCTAACAATATATCCTGATTAGAAGTGTGTGACATAAACACACACATGTTTCCGATCACATGATCATGTAAACACTGCAGATTCACCAGCAGGAATGAGTCCAGTGCGGCTGAAACAGAAGCTGTGCATGTGAACGCAGCCGGTGGGATGAAATCGGCAGATTCTTTTTCTTGTTTCCAAGCATTAATTTGCTTAATTTCTCAACAACAGTGTTCTTCTCCAGTAAATGTATCTTGATTTAGGAACAACAATTTCACCATGTGCTCCAGGAGGGGCTGAGAGCCGTTTCCAGCACCCAGTGCACGGACTTATCAGAAAGCTGTTCACTGACTGGCTTGCGCGACAACGAGTCATGCAAAATACACTCGAGTTTAATTGTTTAACTTGCGTGGAGACGTGATTGAGGCGAATAGAGCGCTCACGGCAGCTGCGTCGCCAGTTCGTGTCTTTGCCTTGACTCAGTATGTGATCTACAGGCTCAGATAATTACACCGGCGTCTGGAGAGAACATTAGCGCTGTAAAGCCGTGTCGTACCTTCTCTCAGCCGCTCTCTCGTCTTCTGTCTCACACTGCAGGGTTTCAGCGGCTCCGGCTCCTGGCTCTCCTCTCTCAGCTTCCCGGAGGATTTACTGTCCTCCTCCTACAACACAAGTCACTTCATCTATACAGCGCTTTAACAACACAGAGTTCCACAGCAGCTTTACAGTGATAACAGGAGATTACAGTAACAGAGTGTTTAGGCTTTACAGCAGCTCTAGAATAAAGTTATTGTCCAGATAAAGTTAGTTTTGATTGATTCACTTCCGTTGTAAAGATCATTAGTGATTAACTTAGCGGCCGCTAACACGACACCGCTCTACAGAACACCCTTAACGCGCTCCGGCCGCTCACTCGCACAACAGTGTCTGGAGCTCGAGAACACACACTCTGAAACAGGTGCAAGCGGTGAAATATTTTGAAAAAAAAAAAGTCTGTGAGAACGCTGACGGTGCACACATGCGCATTACATGTTTAGTCTATAGGTATGCACATTTGAATATATATATATATATTTGTTTGTTTTATTTAGAGTTTGACAAGGCAGGATATTGGTGCAATTGACAAGGTGCAGGCGTTGAATCATCTCCATGCAAACTTCAAAACTGTGAATATGTGAAAACGCTGCATAGGAGTGAGTATGTGGAACTCCTCCTCCTCTTCATCACCTGTTCTTCTGCTTCTCCTCCATCTCTCCCAGACTCCTCCTCCTTCTCCTCCTTCATCTCCTCGCTCTCCTCCTCCTCTTCCTCAGGGAGGCTGATGTCCATCATCTCGTTCTCTGAGGGATCGTGGGTCGGGTCTGAAACGCTGGTCTGGATCTGATCATCAGCGCTGAAACTCGCAGCTGGAGAACAACACAGGTCAGAGAGACTGAGAACCACCGCCTCAAACATCTCCCGCTTTATCATTTACTCCTTCCTTTATTACACCACTCTGTGGAATGCTGGATTGGTCAATAGCGCCATCCAGTGGTGTATTACTCCCCGATAACAGCCTCTGAGAACAGAAGCACAGGCTCACCCGGGTCGCTTTTTGTGTGTGTGTGTGATCTCAGAATAAACCCCCTTCAGAGAGAGTGTGTGTGTGTGTGATCTCAGAATAAACCCCCTTCAGAGAGAGTGTGTGTGTGTGTGATCTCAGAATAAACCCCCTTCAGAGAGAGTGTGTGTGTGTGTGTGTGTGTGATCTCAGAATAAACCCCCTTCAGAGAGAGTGTGTGTGTGTGTGATCTCAGAATAAACCCCCTTCAGATGTGTGTGTGTGTGTGTGTGTGTGTGATCTCAGTATAACCCCCTTCAGATGTGTGTGTGTGTGTGTGTGTGTGTGTGTGTGTGTGTGTGTGATCTCAGAATAAACCCCCTTCAGATGTGTGTGTGTGTGTGTGTGTGTGTGAGTTGGTTTATGTGATTTATGAGGACACAAATTTGTATAATGACATGTGTATTACACTGGTATTACAACTTATGGGTGGTTTATGAGGACATTTCAAAAGTCCTCATAAATCAAATGGCTTAAAAAACATAAAAAACAATGTTTTATTAAAAAATTAAAAATGCTGCATGTCTCCTGTGATGGGTAGGTTTAGGGATAGGGGCAGTGTAGGGGGATAGAATATATAGTTTTTACGGTATAAAAACCATTACGCCTATGGAGAGTCCTCATAATGCTGTTGCACCAACATGTGTGTGTGTGTGTGTGTGTGTGTGTGTGTGTGATCTCAGTATAACCCCCTTCAGGCTGATGAAGTCCTGATCCTGATCCCCCTGTCGGGTTTATTCTGAGATAACAGCCGGCTGGATGTACATTATCACTTACTGATTTAACTAGGGAATGTAAAACTCACTGAGACTAAGAATGTCTTTTACAAGACAGAAACTCTGAGGGAAAACACTGTTTTTTGCACTGATATAATAATATGTGAGACGCTGACCCGCATCAGTTCCCTCATCTGCGGTCAGCGGTTCCGGGTTCTCCACAGGAAGGGGCGGAGCTACAGCAGGAAATTCGTCCTCCTCCACGTGGCTGTTGGGAGACAGAAACCTCCGGACGATTCGCTCGACCTGCGGACGAAACGTGTGATGGACCTTCGGATCCACGACCTGAGCCACGATCCGGTCCACTCCCTGCTCCAGCATACCAGACCTGGCACACACACACACACACACACACACACACAGGAGGAGGACGTGAGAGAGAGAGAGAGAGAGACAGCCAAATGAATGGACAGACGAACGGACAAACAAACAAACAAAAGGACAGACAAATGAATGGACAGACAGACAATTAGACAGATAGACAGACAAACGGACAGACAAAAGGACAGACAGACAGACAGACAAATAGATTAATGGACAGACAGACAGACAGACAAAATGACAGACAGACGAATGGACAGACAGACAAACAAATAAGACAGATAGACAGAGACACATACAAATGAATGGACAGACGAACGGACAGACAGACGAACGGACAGACAGACAGATAGACAGACAGACAAAATGACAGACAGACGAAAGGACAGACAGACAAACAAATAGACAGATAGACAGACAAACATAAGAACAGACAGACAGACAAACAAAAGAACAGACAGACAGACAAACGGACAGACAAAAGGACAGACAGACAGACAGATAGATTAATGGACAGACAGACAGACAGACAAAATGACAGACAGACGAATGGACAGACAAAAGGACAGACAGACAGACAGATAGATTAATGGACAGACAGACAGACAGACAAAATGACAGACAGACGAATGGACAGACAGACAAACGGACAGACAAAAGGACAGACAGACAGACAGATAGATTAATGGACAGACAGACAAAATGACAGACAGACGAATGGACAGACAGACAAACGGACAGACAAAAGGACAGACAGACAGACAGATAGATTAATGGACAGACAGACAGACAGACAAAATGACAGACAGACGAATGGACAGACAGACAAACGGACAGACAAAAGGACAGACAGACAGACAGACAGATAGATTAATGGACAGACAGACAAAATGACAGACAGACGAATGGACAGACAGACAAACAAATAGACAGATAGACAGAGACACATACAAATGAATGGACAGACGAACGGACAGACAGATGAACGGACAGACAGACAGACAGACAGACAGACAAAATGACAGACAGACGAAAGGACAGACAGACAAACAAATAGACAGATAGACAGACAAACATAAGAACAGACAGACAGACAAACAAAAGAACAGACAGACAGACAAACGGACAGACAAAAGGACAGACAGACGAATGGACAGACAGGCAAACAGACAGATAGACAGAGACACATACAAAGGAATGGACAGACAGACAAACAAAGAGACAGATAGACAGACAAACATACAAACAAATGGACAGACAGACGAACGGACAGACAAACAAACAAAAAAAGGACAGACTGACAGAAAAACGAATAGACAGAGAGACAAACAAAAACGAATGGACAGACAGACGGTAGGACAGACAGAAAGTCAGACAAACAAACAGAGGGAGAGACAAACAAATAGACGATCAGACAGACAGAGAGACGAATTGACAGAGACACACACACACACACACACACACACACGTACTGCAGGACCAGTTGTCTGATGCTGTTCCTCAGCTGGTTCTTGTTGAGCTGTGGACTCCAGGTGTGATTGGCCAGATGATTGGACACGAAGTTATCGACTCGCTGTCGCAAGTGCAGATACGCCGGCTGAGGAAGAACACCACAGAGTAAACTATTACATTATATATCAAACATCACAGAGTAAACTATAATCTTCTTTATCAAACTTTACAGAGTAAACTATTACATTATTTATCAAACATCACAGAGTAAACTATGATCTTTATCCAGTTAAAGTATTTCAGAATAACTGTACAATCGTCTTTCTGCTGTCAGATATGACCTGAGTTTATGAAGGACACGTGAGAATAACTTTGATATTGTTAGTAATATTCCAGCCGGACTGAAGCAGGTTTAGTTGATCATCCAGACATAATCATGAGTATCAAATATGATCATCAGGTTTATGAGGAAGGTTTATTTGTCCATCTGTCAATCATCTTTGCATTGCATTATATGTTTTAAAACTACAGAGTTTTGATCATCAAACTGAGCCTTTAAATATAATCTTACTAAGACATATTAATGGCAGATATTGATATTATTGATCAATGTTGATACTGATTTAACACCATGAGCTGCTAAACTGACAGTCCGTTAATGAATTAAAAACTGAGCGGTTTATCACAGGACTCTCGCGATCGATTATCAACAAATACATGATCAGTTCTGTGACAGTATCGGACAACAACATCAGAGACGGGGATCTTCCGATGATGCCACGCTATCACTGCGGTTCCTGAGGTAAACTCGTGAGTAAAGCGTGTGTTGTTGTGGAGTAAATGTGTGTTTTGCCTTTGTGTCCACGTCCGCCAGGCAGTCTCTGCGGAACTGGTCGAACAGGCCCTCCGTCTTCAGGTGACTGACGATCATCGACACCAGCTGTGGGTCTCCGGGGTGAAGAGCCGCCATCGCCACACACTCGGAACCGAAGCCAGCAGAACTCGGGCCAGCACAACCTCCGAAAACAGCAGAACCAGCAGTGCGCTACTGAGGGAGCGACGACCCGGAAGTTTACACTGCACACAGGAAACAGGAGAAGAAGACAAAGCAAAACAAGCGCGATCTTCAGCGCCATCTAGAGGACACACTGCGAGTTTCAGCATTTACAGCAGCGGAGTAAAAAACTAAAAAATATGAAATTAAAATACATTGATTAAAATATTTTATTTAAATAATAATCAATAAAACATGTTTTTTAAAAATGAGTAAATACGTTTATTTAAATATATAATACTAAATTAGATTAAACTAATACATTATTAAAATAAAATTTGGTTTGAATATATAAAATAAAAGAATAATAAAACTAAATAACTAGAACGCGATTCAAACGAATGCATGAATGAATTAATTAATTGATTGATAAAAATGATATTTAAATAAATAATAATGATTAAATATATTTGATTTAAATAATTGTATTAAAAATGTATTTTTTCAATAAAAAAACATTTGATTAAAATGAATTAAAATGATTAAAATGAATAGATATTTTATTGAAATATGCCATGAATTAATACATTTTAAATAAAAATTTATAAAACTATATAAAGTAAAGAATTGATAACACTAAACTAAATAACTAAAACGTGATTTAAATAAAAAATAATACATTTATAAATTTGACTAAAAGGGTTATTTAAATAAAAATAAATCAAACATTTGATAAAAATTAACAAAACAAAACAAAATTAAATAAATAATTGTAAATGATTAAAATAAATATTGATTTGAATATCTCAAAATAAATAACTTTGATCAAACTAAATATCATCATCATCATCATCATCATCATCATCATCATCACATCTTTATTCAGGACATACATATAAAATGGTCCATAGCACTATACAAAATAAAGTACATTCAAAACAACAACAAAAATTTTGATAAAATGACTACACAGTCAATATTCCACAATACACAAAAAAGTGTTAAAATATTGGCATATAAACTAAAGTGATTCCACAAACCCGAAGTGAACCTAACAGCACTCAATGCAGGACTAACTAGTGTTTTGATGATGCTGTTATGTGCCTCTGCTAGTCTACACATACATCTCTGTACATGAGATTCCTGAGTACAGCAGGACATGTGGATACATTAACACTGACACACATGTGACTCGCACTGCCCCCTCGTGGCACTTTAAGGCGAGACACTACAGGTGAATAGGGTAAAATTTTTAAATAATAGATATCACCATGAAACTTCCTCAGTTGATTACTTACATAAGTATATAAAAAAAATGTATTACAAGTTTTTGAAATTGTTATGTTTAATTATGCAGATTAGGCATTATCTCATTAAATATGCATAATTTTGCATACATTTTCGGTAGATAGATCTGAACATATGATAAAGCTAGGTGCAAAATTATTTTTTCATTTTGTTAACACACAAGATGAAAAAAGAATTTCAGAGGGATTTCAGGATATATGCTTTCATTACCTAGGAAATCTAAATATATTGTCCATAGCCTTAAAAAATCAATTCTCGCCATATTTTTTTGATTAAATAGTCACATAAATCAGGCCAGGAATGATTTATAAACAAATCCCTCTGAAAATATCTTCAGAATACTGCTAAGTGTATAACTGGAAAGTTTGGTGTACATAGGTGCTACACAGGCTGAGAAGTTTCTACTGGAGAATGACAAAAAACTCATTTTGAGAAAACAGCATTTAAAGATTTGTAATGTAAAAATTCATACTTTTTTAGTGGAAACAACTATTTACAGACACAATATCTTATCAAATCATTAGCAACAACAATACAAACCACCTAAATCACATTACAACGTATAACACAGCATGTATGGCCTTCAACTGAACAGAAAAACAGTCAAAAACACACATCTAAATGTCAGAGCACGTCACGTGATGCATCTGAACGAATCACGTTGTCAGAAATTGACATCAGCCAATGAGATTTCGGTTTTAGAGTTAAATGCCCATTGTACTTTCACGATTGGTGGCTGATAAAAAGGAAATGACCATATTTGGATCCGACAACTATGTGAAAGAGAGGGAGAGCTTTCCAACGGTGTGTGTGATGACAGGGTGCAGATCGCGATCGCAGAGCAGCATGTTGATTTAGAACGACAACTTTTTGTTGAATTTAGGAGAAATCTACAGACGCAAACAGACAAAGTGTTGTAAAATAAAGACCTAAATGTGTATTTTGGATTGTTTTTCACCACAAGTATGAAACAAGACATGTTATTGAAGACAAATAGCCCAAAATCTCAAAATTGACCAGTGAAAAAAAAACGATGTTTTTGCCAGCCGTGTCTCGCCTTAAGCAGCAACCTCAGCCCATAATTATATGCCACCTTGAGTTTCTGCATACTACTTTTTTTATAGCGCCGCCACAAGTGGGCAGTGTACATCTGAGGACAAAAAGCTTTAAAAAGTGTAGTCTTCACAAAAAAAGTGAACACATACTAAATTTCAGCGTATTAGCTTGACAGGTCATCAGTCATCAGACAGGTCATCAGTTAAATAGTGTCCTAAGTACTTGATCTCATCAGCAATTAGGGGAGAGTTTTCTACTTGCAAATTTCAAATGCTCCGCAGATATCTCATCCATACCGCATGTCTTATTATCCTTTAGCATCATAATTGCATCATAAATTTCTTGAGGTAAAACAGTTACATCTTGTCTCATTACTATCAATGTCACCCATCGTAAACAGCTTACTTTTAACACAGTTAAACAGCTCATAATGTTTCTGCCACAACTGAGTAATTTCTTCAGAGCCATTAACACCATAAATATTCGTTGGTAACGATGTTTTACAATTATTCATTCTCTTGATTATATCATATAAATAAATATAAATATATTTAGATAAATAAATAACTAAAAGTTTATTTTAATAAAAATAAGAAAAGCAGTGTAAAAACACCTTCTTATGTCTATGAAAAACACATAAATAGTACAGTCTATTTCAAATGGTAGGCTATTTTTATGAATATGATATTAATTTTTAGTCACTTGTAATGCAGTGTAACCATAGACTGTAAAAATGTATTTATTACCTTAATCAAATATATGAATGTATTATTTATTAAAACAAAAGTATACACATTTTTTTTTAAAAAAAAACGTTTTATTTATTTTTATTTCAATAAAATCATATCAGTGAAAAAGCGATGGCAGCGGTGGGATTCGAACCCACGCCCCCGAAGAGACTGGAGCCTTAATCCAGCGCCTTAGACCGCTCGGCCACGCTACCGCTGGTGCAGTGCTAGACCCTGACCTTAATTAATACAAGAGGTACACTCAAGAAAGAAAAACACATGGCATCTGAGGACTATTTCTAATTGTTCTGTTATTTTGCTTTATTTCCAGACTCAATCATAAGTTTGTCTTCAAAAACGTTGCTTTAAAACTCTCGACACAACTAAAATGACATTTGTATGTATTCTAAATAAAAGTCAGACTTCAGATTGCACTGAATGTCAGCTTGCTTATTTTGCTCCAGAAAAGGATTTATTGAGTCCACATGTCATGCAAACTAGAACATGCTTCTAACCACAGCTCGAGATCTGTTGTTCGACTCGTTCCCGAACACACACCTCTGCGATGCTGTTGATGGTTTCGGGAAACACTGACTCGTTGACCTGATATCAAAAGAATTTGCTAACGATGCTTTCGGGAAACATCGACTGCAGAATAGGATTACGTATTAGATCTAGCTCTATAAAAAGACCCTACAAAGCATTTCTCCGCCCAGCTCATCATCATACTCTCAAAACATTCAGTGGTTGCGACACAAACTATACTTGTAAGTTGTCAAGGAGTGGACTGGTTACTGTAATTCAAATCAAGTGTTCTCAGACTGCTGGTTTTTGAAGACAGATTAGGCTACTTTTACTGACACTGCAGACATGTAAGTAGCCTAAATTTTTCATCGATTTCACCATTAATATAGCATTTAATGTAAAAGTTTTAAAAAAGTGAAAGGAATTCAACAAAACCTAATGTTTGCGATTGTTTGATTTCGTTTCCATTACAGATTTGCACAAAACTGTTACGATTTTCTTTTTCTAAATGTCGATATATTGCGAAATGATGGCGTTTCCATGTTATTTTTTCAAAACATTTCTCGCAAATCTGTTATGGAACCTTTTTTTTTTTAATGTACTTTAAGAATCTTTAGGACTTTAGCTGGATTTTCCTAAATGTCACAGGGCTGGACTGGAACAAAAAATCGGCCCGGGCATTTTGGCCCAGACTGGCCCACTACATATGATCATAAACACAACCGAACTTTGCACGCCCTTAAATATGTGTGGCTGCATTGGGATAGCAATGCCGATATTTCCCACAGTATTTTGTGAAATCTTTGGTGAGTGCACCTCTGTCCCTCTAGGGGGGTTCGGGGGGCATGCTCCCCCGTAAGAAAATGTTGTGCTTTTTAATGTTAAGTTCATCAATCTGGTGCACTTTAAGAGTTAAAAATTAAGAGCTCCAACCCATATTCAGTGTGCAAATTGAACAAAGAAAAACTCAAAACTCTTTCAGTTGTGATTTAAGCTGCGTCCCAATTCGCATACTATCCGTCCTAAATAGTATTCGAAAATAGAATTAGTACGTCCCAAATCGTAGTATGTCGAAATGAGTGTTCCAAAGAGACCCGGATGGTCTACTATTTCCGGTCAGAATCGTGAATGTGCAGGGAAACTCCTTTTTCTGGCAAAAGCGGCGGCAACTGCACATCCAATGGCGCGGGGGCGTCTCAGAGGTGCGACCAATGAACTAGCCCTACGTCATTATACGATCTTCAGTCTTCACGTGCCTTCGCGGGGTTTCAGACACGTTACATGACTTCCACCAATCAGATGCATCACTGTGGGATTGTTCAGGATTGTGGGTAATGAAGTACTTATCCAATACATCGCGAATAAAAGGCATTTATCTTAAAACAAGGTTAGTGCCCCATGAACTTTTGCCGTTTATATGAGCATATACAATCGCTTAGTACAGCCGTAGCTGGTTTTAAGTCTACCATGTATGGTTAGGTTTTTATACGCT